TCTCGGGGCTCCTGCCAGGCCTCGGTTCCGTGGAAAAGCGGTTCCGGATGGAAAAACCCTTCCCGGGGAATGGGTCGGGACCTCCGAGGGTTGACGTCATGAAAGAATCATGACGTCGGGGGTCTGGGTACGAGGGGAGAGGGCTGTATGTGGGAGGGGGGATAACGACCAGAGTACGAAGTGAGAGGGGGAAGCTATGTCGAGGCGGTGGGAGACGGGCCAATGGGTCAATGGGGGGCGCGGGGAGGGCACGCCGCACGCTCACCGAGCCACGCGGGCTACTCAGGAGGAGGGGGCGCTCGCCTGCGCCACGCCATGCGCCCTCGTGCGGCTCGGCTTCGGGCGTAGGGGGCCACATTCGAACGCTCCCCCTGCCCCCCACGACTTCTGCGGGGGAGGGCGGGGTTCACTTCGCTCGGGAACTTCTCTCGGGAGCTCCCGAGCGAAGCGAACCCCGCTCTCCCCCTCAGAGGTCGTGGGGGGCAGGGGCAGGTTGCGGAGGCGGCCCCCTGGGGCCGCCGAAGTGGGCGAAGAAGCTTCGAGGCAGCCCGCCCCCAGCAGCGCCGCCCCTCCCCCCCCCGTCCTCCGCCGCCTCGCGCGCTCCCCCGAGGGGCCGCGGGCGCCTTGGAGCTGTCCAGGCGGTGCGAGTACGCATGCAAGGTCTCGAACTCGACCACGCCGTTGGCCTCCGCGCTCGGCCGCGCAGAGCAAAAGCCCCCCCCCCGCCCACCCACGACGACCGTAGCCCCTCACAGGTGCCCTGAAGAAGCCCCTGAAGCCCCCCAGAAACCAACACCCCCTGAATGCGATGCGAACACCGCTGCGGACAGTGTCCGGGCCCAGCTCAGACCAGGTGGGTGAGGCCGTGGCCTCGAGAAGCTGGCGCAGATCTGGACACCTACAGTACACATAGACACAGGGCCATGGTTCCAGCGAAGGGCCCGACGATGTGCGGTTGCGAAGAGTGCCGCAGCTCTGGAGAGGGGGGGTGCTCCGACCTGGGGGAGCCAAACTGGCCACGGGCCCAACGATGTGCAGTTGCGAGAGCACCGCAATTCTGAGGACCGTCCTCGGGGGAGCTCCGACCTGTGGGAGACAAACTTGTCCTGGCGAAGGGCACAGCCCTGTGAACAGCGTGTCGCCACGGCGGCCCCGGCGAGACGCAACTGCGAGTGGCTGGCGTGTGTAGCTCCGCTCCGCGGGACGGGAGGCTTGGAAAGGCTTGGGCCACCGACGCCTCGGGACCGCGAAATGGATGGCGTGTGGTTCCAAAACGCGGTGGGTCAGAACAGGCGGAGCGACACGCTATCCAAGAGTTGCCGACCGTGCGCAGCTGTGAGCACCGCAATTATGAGGATTGTTTTCGGTGGAGCTCCCTATAGGGCGACGAAGTGGAGCAGCGAAGCGTGCGAGGGGTGTACCGACGGGGGCGAAGAGCTGCATGGAAACCCTGCCACTGGGGTCTTCGGTGGAGCTCCCTGTGGGGCGACTGAAAAGTGTGAGGGGTCTGCTGAAATGGGCATGCGAACTCTGCAACTGGGGCCTTCCGTGGAGCTCCCCACGAGGCCACGAAGCGTGTAAGGGGTCTGTCGCACTAGGCGGGGAGCCGCATGCGATGTGCCGAAATGGACACATGGAGGGCAGAGGCAGGATGGGGGCAGAGGGAGGGAAGGTGGGAGACGCGGGGCGCTGCCCCATTCAAAACAAGGACTACAATTATGTTGCTCCCATCCTACTTAGGGACCGCATCCCAGAAATAATTTCGAGCACCCGGAAAAGTGTCAAAAGAGTGTCGAAACAGTGTCGGGCGAGCGTCTCCCAGGGCCCGACACGTGAACACCCTCGAGTTTCGGCACTTTCGAGGGCGCTGGAATCTCTTCCTGGTGATCAAGGCTCAAGCAGGTTAGAGCATCATATTTGGACGCCCGAAATGGGCACGGAAAGAATGGGCACAATGCCCAACAGCAAATGTTGTCCCAAACCAACAGCGGCCGCTGTTGGGCAGGCGACCTTCTGTCTCGAATGGACACAGGCCGCGGCGGCGCGGACAGCGAGCCCTGTCCAAAATGAACAGGAACTGCTGTTGGGCATCGTACCCATTCTTTCCGTACCCATTTCGGGCGTCCAGATCATAAGACTACAGGATGGTGGGGAGCAGTGCGGCCAGGAACCTCTTGCGCAGCGCGCCAGCACGCGGTGGCCCCGAGGCGGCACGCAGCGTGCCTCGCGACGAGAACGGGCAGCGCGTCGCCCCGCTCCGCGGGGCGGGGGGCTGGGAAAGAGCTCGGGGCGCGGACGCTGCGGGGCAGGGAAGTGCGAAGGGGCCCCGGGACACACAAACATCCACACAAACACCAGGATTCCCCATACATGCATTCCCATATTTTTTCTGGACGTTCGTCTTCCCCCCCAACTGCCCATGGTTTCCCACATGTTCTGGGGGATCGACGCTGCACTGTGTCTGTGTGCTTATTGTTCCCCTCCTCGAAAGTGGATGGCATGGCATGCCGCGTCCAAGCGAGCGTGTTGGGCCAGGACCGGCGCGGAGCGACACGCTGTGCAACAAAGTTCCCGACCGCATCCGTACCAGCCGCACCCCCCGGACCCCCTTACGTTACCCTACGTTATATGATCTTGTCATCACGTCGACCCCCAGAGGTCTCGACCCCAAGAGGTCGCGACCCCCAGAGGTCTCGACCCCCAGAGCTCTTGACCCCAAGAGATCATGTCATGACGCTGTGATATTGTCTCGACCCATTCCATCCCGACTCGTTTTCGCGGCCCTGGGGCATGGTAAAGGGACCCCAGAGGCAGAAGTCTGTGGAAACACCGCCCGTCGTGATTTATTCATGACTCGACGGAGGGGGTCTTAGAGGCCTCCTATATTGGGTTCGAGTAGATGGGGTCGAAGGATCGCGCCGCATCGTCAATGCATCGCCGATGCATCGGCGATGCATCGGCGGTGCGTCGGTGACGTCGGCAATGCATCGGCGACGTCGGCGTGGGAAACACGGTCTCCACATCAAGCCGCATCCTCGATGCATCGGCGGTGCATCGGCGAGGCGGCGCGATCCTCCGACCTCATCTGCTCGGACCCCACCTGGGAGGCCTAGAGAGTGAGGGCCCCCAGAGGCAGAAAACTTTGGAACAAAACCTCCCGCCGTGACCTCTCCATGGATCGAGGGGGGGGGCCTGGGCCCACGGTGGCAACAACGGCGCCCCCCGTGCTCACGTTGAGGAGGGACCGACCGTCCCGGCATTCCCATAGTCATACCACGAAGTGTTCTTAGAACCCAACAATGTTCTAAGAACAAAAACAATGTTCTTAGAACACAACCCCGATGTGCTAAAACAAGACAGTCCCAACCAGAAATGTTCTGAGAACACCCCGTGGGAACCGCAAAAGGTTTTTAGAACATTGCTTGGTGGGGCTATAGGCGAGCCGGGACGCTTCGCCACTGCGTGCCCTCCTCGATGCATCGGCGATGAATCGGCGAGGCGGCGCGATCCTCCGACCCCATCTGCTCGGACCCCATCTGGGAGGCCCAGAGTATATAAGGGCACCCCCCAGAGTAGGGTAAGGCCTAGAGTAAGTCTTTGGAAAAACCTCCCCTCATGATTTCTCCATGGCTCGAGGGAGGGGGGGGGCTCTGGGCCCGCAGCGGCAACAGCGGCGCCCCCCGTGCCCACGGGCCTCCGACTGCATGGTCGTCATGGTCGCGCCCGCCCCGCTCGGCATCACGGCGGGCGGCTGGGCCTGCCACCTGCGGGGCGGGGCGCCCCCCGCCGCGCCGCGGGCCCGCTCCCAAGGGGGGGCCGGCAGCGGGCGACGTCCGCCGAAGGGGCAGGCCCTTAGCGGGCCCTGGAAACGACAGGACCGTTTTTTTTACCGGTTCCGTTCTGCCGTCTTTGTGCCGGTTCCGACGCCGTTTTTTGACCGGTTCCGGCTCCAGTTCCGATCCTGGAGCCGTTTTTGTTGCCGTTTCCGGTCGCCGTTTTTTTTGCCGTTTCCGATTTCAATGGACACTTTTTGGGAAACGGTGAAAAAACGGCCCTGCCGTTTCCGGGGCCCACAGAGGGCAGGCCCACGCAAGGCTTCGGTCGGGCAGTTCCTCCTGCAGAGGGATTTGTAAGAGAAATGAAAAGTCGTCCAAAACATGCTCTAGCATAGTCAAGCATAATCGAACAGTCGTCCCCAGACTATGGGTTGACTATTCTGGAACATTCCTCCTGCAGAAGGACATGCCTGGCATAAGGCAAGCCCACGCAAGGCACTGGAAGAGTCAACCGCGTGCAATGCGGGGGAAGCACGAAGCTGATTGTCTGATGTGTGTTTACCATATATGGTGCACACTCAAGGTCGATTGGAGAGGACACGCAAGCGGGAACAAGACCCTTCCGAGGGCCACATGATCATACATATTACAGATATGATATATACTACATAAATATAAGTGTATGTATAAGATATGTTTTGCAGATGGCGTGGGTCGCTAAGCACATGGCTCAAGGGTACCTTCGACTCGGCAGGGCCACCCTAATGATCATCCTCGACTGTAACGGTCGCCACCACTAGAGGCATCCTAGATAGGGTTGGAATAGATAGGGTTGGACTAGAGCCACCCTAGATGCGGGCTCCACATCGAGCCGCATCGCCGAGGCATCGGCGATGCGGCGCGATCCTCCGACCCCATCTGCTCGGACCCCCGTTGGGAGGCCTGGACTGATCCGCCTCGACGGCAACGGTCGTCAACCCCAGGGGGGGGGGGAGGGAGGTGGGGGGCCAGGGCAGCGGTGACGCTCGGCCGGGCACGCCCCGGGCGCGGAGGAGGGCCGTGCGGAGGGAGACGGGGCCTGGCCGCGGTGCTCGCCCCCAGGGCAACGAGACGAGAGGCCTTCCGGATGGGGTCCGAGCAGATGAGGTCGGAGGATCTCGCCGCATGGCCGATGCATCGGCGATGCATCGGGGCACGTCGGCGATGCATCGGCGGCGTCGACGTGAGGCAAGTCGTACTCCACATCGAGCAGCATCGGCGGTGCATCGGCGATGCGGCGTGACTCTCCCCATCCACTCTGACCCCTAGGAGGCTTAGCAAAAAGACATGCATGTTTTGCAAGTCGAAGTCCCCAGACATTTGGCGTATCGAAGAAATTGAGAAGGATGATGTTTCATCGTGTTCAGTCTCTCGGGACCCCTACGGGGCCTCGGGACCGTCAAAAAACGGCTCGCGATCGACAAACGATCCCAGGGAGGTGGTCGAGAGGTCGGGTGCCCGTGTCTCGGAAATAGCCTGGCGACGAACCCGACCCTTTCTAAACAGGTGGCGGCTAGAAACAAGACCGCTCTACGCCTGCGGACGCAGCCACTGGGGCCTTCGGCGGTGCTCCCTAGAAGGATACGAAGCGTGCGAGTGGTCTGCCGAAATGGGGCGGGGCTGCATGCCGACGCTGCCACTGGGGCCTTCGGCGGGGCTCCCTAGGTGGTCGTGACACGTGTGATGGGGGACTGCCGACATGGGGCGGGGCCGCATACGGACGTGGCCATTGGGGCCGCATGCGGACGCAGCCACGTGGGCCTCCAATGGAGGTTTACATCTTTGGGGTCATGGGCCCGCCAAGAAGCTCAACATCTTTGGGGTCATTCAATTCTGCAGTTGGTCCCCTACTCGATCCCTGGAATTCGCCTCCCCCCACTGGCGATGGTATGGTGTCACCTTGCCTCTCCCCGGCACTGCGGGCGACCCCCCCCCACGGTGAAGGGAAACTCTGACACACAAATAAGTAGACACAAGTAACCAGATTCCCAGTACACTCGGGCTGCTGAAGGAACGCTAAACGAAGAAATCTGCGGCTTCAAAAAAAGCCTGGGTGCGGAACAACCGCGGGGAAGGACGTGAGGAACATCGAGCCCCTTCCGAATCCGAAGTATTCCCTTATTTCAGCGTCTTGGCTGTATTTTCCTGTATTTTCTGGGTTGTTGTCTTCCCCCCCACTCCCATATCTTCCGATATTTTCTGGGGAATCGACGACGAATGGTGTCTGTGTTTTGTCCCTTCTGAAACGGGGCGTGGCCGCCGCTGCGGAACCGGGACACACAAAGAAATAGACACAAAGAACCAGATTCCCAGCAATTCCCAATATTCTCTGGGTTCTTGTCTTCCCCCCAACCTCCCATAATTTCCTATATTTTCTGGGGGATCAACGGTTCATTGTGTCCGTGTTTTTGTCCCTTCTGAAACGGGGCGTGGCCGCCGCTGCGGAACTGGGACACGCAAAGAAATAGACACAGAGAGCCAGATTCTCAATCATGTTCCCAAATGTTCTGGGATTTTGTCTTCCCCCCCAACCTCCCATGGTTTCCCATATTCTCTGGGGGATCAACGGTACATGGTGTCTGTGTTTGTTCCCCTCTGAAACGGGGCGTGGCCGCCGCTGCGGAACTGGGACACGCAAATGAATAGACACAAAGAACCATATTCCCGGTATGTTCCCACATTTTCTGGGCATTTTCTTGTCTTCCCCCCCAGCACCCCATAGTTTCCCATATTCCCAGGGGGATCATTACCAGCCTCGAACGTATCCCTATCCCTAAGATTGACACGCCAAATGGCGATGAAAATCTTAGGGCTTCGCCCTCAAAAAATATGGCAATCCCTAAGATTGGCATCGTGATGAGGAGGTGCCCAGCATAGGGATAGGGTATGTTCTAGGCTGGTATATTTTGTCCGCGTGTTTGTTCCCCTCTGAAGCGGGGCGCGCCCGCCGCTGCCCGCCGCGGGGCCGCGCCACCCGCTCCACTGCCCCTGCGCGCCCAACGTGCGGCCGCTGAGGAGCAGCACCTGCCGCGCCCGCCGGGCACCGCCCGCGAGGAAGGCGGCAGCGAGACGCGCGCGAACCGATGCGGTCAAATCGGGCGCGTCCCCCTGCAGGGAGGGGGATGTTCGATGAACAATTTGAAAATACCCAAACAATGCTCCAAAATGGTGCCGCGCCCGCCGGGCACGCCCGCGAGGAGGACGGCAGCAAGACGCGCGCGAGCCGATGCGGTCAAGTCGGGCGCGTCCCCCTGCAGGGGGATGTTCGACGAACAAAGAAACCCAACAACAAATACTCCAAAATGGTGAACACACGCTCCAAAATAGCCCCCCCGCTATGGTTTGACCATTCTTGGATATTTTCCCTCTGTAGAGGGGACAAGCCCCCTACACGGGGATGCGCGACGAAAAATGACAAAAAAATCCAACTACAACTACTCGAACATGGTGAGCACATGCTCCAACAAATAGCTCCCCGACTATTTGTTTTGACTGTTCTTGGATAGTTTCCCTCTGTAGAGGGACGGGCCCGACTTCACGATGTGGGGAGGAGGCGCGTCCAGGGGGCCACGGTGCGCCACGTGCGCGGCCGGCGGGCGGGCCAGGGATGTGCGCGGCCCAGCGGGCGGGCCAGGGACGTCATGAAGCAAGACCGGGCGCCATGAAGTCTGGGGGAACATCACGGCCCCCGCCATGCTCTCCACCCTCCCCCCCAATCCTCACCCCCCTCTCTGCCGCCCCCGCAACGTGGGGGGTGGGGGGGGGGGCAGGGCTCGCATGTGGCCCGCGAATTGGTGGAGGAGAGGGGGGGGGGGGGGGCACGTTGGTTGGGCAAGGCCGGGTGCGGGGGCCGTCGGGCCCCGAGGGCGGGGGGAGGGGGGCTCCCGCTCCGAGCGGGGGGGGCCCACCCACGCGGCAGCACGGACACCCGCAGCTGCCCGCGGGAGTCCACGCGGAGAGAGCTGCGACCGGGAACGATGGATTGGCCACAGATGCGGCCTAAGAACCAAACATACTAAACACGGCGAAGGCGCCACGTTGGGCAAGTCCGGGTGCGGGTTGTCGGGCCCCGAGGGGGGGGGGGGGGAGCTCCCGCTCGAGCGGGGGGGGCCCCACGCGACAGCACAGACACCCACAGCAGCCCGCGGGAATCCACACGGAGAGCGCTGCGACCGGGAACGGTGGATTGGCCATAGGTGAAGCCTCAGAGCAAAAGATACGAAACACTGGACGACAAAGCTTGCCTGGCATGACACGGGACTCTGCCGGATTGGCCTGGCCTGGCGCCGATGCCGAATGTGACCTCCCAGGAGTTGCACACGAACGAAAGGGGGGATGAAAACCACGGGTTGTCGTTACACCGCCGGCCCGTCCGAGGAGCGAGGAAGAAGGAGGGAGTGGCAAAGAGAGAGAGAGAGAGAGAACGAGACCCATCATCAGCATCATCAGCATCATCAGCAGCATCATCATCATCGTCATCATCATCGTCGTCATCAGCATCATCATCAGCATCAGCAGCACCATCATCATCCTCATCCTCAACACCATCATCGTCATCAGCATCAACAGCAGCATCATAATCAGCACCATCATCATATTCACCATTATCACCACCACCATCATGATCAGCATCATCATCATCGTCATCATCAGCATCAGCATCAGCATCATCACCAGCACCAGCATCAGCATCAACAGCATCAGCATCAGCACCATCAGTATCATCAGTATCATCAGCATCAGCATCAACATCCGCATCAGCAGAATCATCATCAGCAGCAGCAACAGCATCATCGTCATATCAGCATCAGCATCAGCATCAGCATCATCACCAGCACCAGCATCAGCATCAACAGCATCAGCATCATCAGCATCATCAGCATCATCAGCATCAACATCCGCATGAGCATCATCATCATCATCAGCAGCAGCAACATCATCATCATCGCCATCACCATCACCATCATCTGCATCCCCAAGATTCCTCCTCCTCCTCTTGAGACGAGGTTCCTGCGCGCGGGGTTTCGCGTCACGTTCGCCCGCTTCCCTGTGACATCATGTTACTGGGGGACCGCATGGTCCGCCCAATTGGGGGAACCTGGCGAGAACAGACGGGGATACCCAAGAGACCCGTCGGGAGGCCCAGGGGACCTGTCGGCAGACCCAAGCGGCCGGTCGGGAGGCCCAAGATACCCGTCGGGAGGCCCAGAAGCTCCGTCGCGAGGCCCAGAAGGCTCGTCGGGAGGCCCAGGAGGTCTGTCGGGAGGCCCAAGAGACCCGTCGGGAGGCCCAGAAGGCCCGTCGGGAGGCCCAAGAGACCCGTCGGGAGGCCCAAGAAGCCCTTCGGGAGGCCCAAGAGGCTCATCGGGAGGGCCCCAAGCGGCCCGTCGGGAGGCCCAAAGGGCTCATCGGGAGGGCCCCAAGGGCCAGTCGGGAGGCCCGAAGGGCCCCACCACCCTCGGGCTCTGAGCGGCGCCGGGCGCTTCTCGGCGGATTTTTCTCTCTCCCGGACGCTCCTCCGGACGAGGCCTGCCTCCCATGTGTGCGCCGGTGCTGCTCGGGCGACCTTTCCCCGAGGCCACAAGAGTAGAGCGCAAACAAACCTACCTCGCTTTTGACCACCCTCGCTTCCAAGAGATACCAAGCGACGCCAAACTACGGCCCGCGCTGGTCAGGCCGCTTGACGAGGAGGCGCGTGATGGTATGACTTGGTTTTGCCTGGAAGCGAAAGCGGTGTAGGTAATTCACGCTCTGAAATTTAGAGGCCTGCCGGGAGGCCCCGGGAGGCCTGCCGGGAGGGCCCACGAGGCCCAGGGAGGCCCAGTCGGGCGTGTCGGAACTCCCACGACGCCGCTCGGCAGGCCCAGGAGGCGCACCACAGCAACTCTTCGTTTCAAGACTGAGAATATTGAGGGGGAGGAGGAGAAGGAGGAGGAGGATGAGGAGGAGGAAAAGGAGGAGGAGGAGGAGGAGGAGGGGGAGGAGGGGGAAGAGGAGGAGGAGGAGGAGGAGGAGGAGGAGGAGGAAGAGGAGGAGGAGGAGGAATATTCAAATCGGCTAAAGGGGATGGAGCCCCGCTGCCGGTCATTGAACCCTTCTGCCCGGGATAAACTTTTTCTCTCTCAGAGATCCCCAAGGCGCCACTAGAGGCCCTGGAGATGCACCCAGCAGCCCCCCAAGATGCCCCCTGTATGCCCGAAGGAGTTTTTAAAGAGGCCCCCAGGACATCCCAAGGGGCTTCCCTGAAGACTCCTCAGAGGCCCCAAAGGCAGGCCCCCATGAGCAATCCAAGGGGCCGCGGAAAGGGATCCCTAGAGATCCTCACTTGCATCCAAGAGGCCTCTGACCCACAACCCAGGCGCGGTGGCGGAATGGAACGTGGGTCACTAGATATGGGACACTCAAATGCCTCGGCGCACCTCCCGAGCTCTCCAACGCACACTCAAGGGCCCCCATTATGCAGAAACCTTCTAAACACTCACGAGCACCAACGAAGAGACTCCGAATAAGCTGAACAACATATGCATCAATGACAGGTCTTGGAGATGTTCCCCCAACGTCGCCCTCCATCTACCACGCGACGTAACTGCTTGCACCAACGCTAACTTGACACGACAACTTAGGGAAAATACCATAAGCCAACAAAATTCCGATCCCCGCAGGCACACGGGCAAATGACAACGAGGATGCAATGCTGACTGGTAGAGTTGGCGAAGCGCTTGAAGAGTACCTGCACCAATGATTCAATACAGCTTGAACTGTACAGCCTCTGCGAGAGAAAAGCGCGGCAAGATAGATCTTGGAAGCCGTGGTGATATTTGATGTTCCTGCAACACCAGCCATTGGTGGTTGGAAACTCCTGAACCGAAACCAAACCGCCAACATTGCGGCCTCTCTTGTAATCGCGGTCGCAACGTTGCCTCATACAGTTGGCTCTGATGCAACAGCTACCGATACAACCAGGAGCTGCGGATCATTTACAATTGAGTCTTTAAGTGTCTGCACGACGGCACCTGTCAAGGTAGCTGCTTCTGGCACTGCAGCCTGAAATGGTGGTACGATAAACCTTGCAAGTGGTAAAATCGTGCCGTTCGGCATTTCCGAAATTGAGTTGTGTCTCCCCCCAACAAGATTCAAGAGGTCGTTCACGTAGTGCTGGCAGTTTGCCCCCAATAGCGAGTAGTCTGACATGGACTCCTCAACTGCAAAGTTCTTAAAGTCACTGACAAACAGGAATGCCTCAGCATCTTTATGGTTGATCAGAGTCGCCCCAAGGTGCTCTGCTGCTTCAGGCGCATGGTGCACAGCGTGCCCATGGCGTACCGACAAATCCTTGCCGACAGTGAGGTCCTCGATGTGGATCGTGCCGTCGTGCATCCGCTCCGACAAGATCTCGTGGCCCTTCTGCGTCTGGACGACTGCGTAGGTATGGTAGACGCCTGCTCCGTCACTGATCTCCGCTGGGACACCATGGAGCAACGGACTCTCGCTGCCCAGCACCAAGTGGCCGACGTCTCCCACGTCGAGCGGCTCTTTGTAGGCACTGACTGCCAACAGGTGGTCAGGGGCCAGAAGCTCGAAGCCGAGCCAGCCCCTCAGGCCGTCGACCACGACGGATGCAGCAGCATCAAAGTGGGACTGCCCATGGACCCCCCAATCGCCTGTCCTCCCCCAGCTCCAGAGCCGCCCGACTGCAACTCCTGCTGTGGCGCTTGCCAGTGCAGCCCCAGCGGGGCCCACGAGATCCAGGCCCGGGGCTAGAAATCCCGCCGCCGCGCTTCCAGACATGATCAACAGGCTGCGCAGGGCAGCCATCGGCAGATTCTGGAGCCACACCCAGCTGCCCCGGAAGAATTCCAACTGCCGCTGATAGGCCGTGCCACGCTCGCCAGAGAGGCAGTCAACACAGGACGCCAACTGCGAAGCCCCTATCGAATACGTTACGTACTTCTCCCAAGTGGCGCGGCTACTGGCCTGGTCCCCGCAGAGCCACAGCCAGGCGCACTTCACTTGCGAGAGCAAAGGTATCAAGTCAGCACCGCTGCACAACTGACCCGGCTGGTGCATGCCAACCATGATGGTTCATAGACCGTGCGATGGGGTTCGGGGACGCGTCCTGCGTGCAGCGGGGGCCAGAAGGGCTTGAGCCAAAATGGCTGCGGAACGGAACACAGTCCCATGCGACACAGCTCCAACAAGGCTGCAGACGGGACAAGACGGCCACACACGATGATTCCCCGTACATACGCCAACGTACGTTGTTATACATACGTCAATGTATATATGTGATATCGCCAACCACTTCGCTCCAAACCATCAGGGAGACAACTGAACAATACATGTCCCTGACGCTTCAAGGCACATGTAGAAATGCAGGAAGGTGGGGCGAATCGGATTGCTGGGGCGACGTCCCCGCGACCACGTTGGCGCCCCGCACTCAGGGAAGTCCCTGCGCGCCTCCTTTTGGCGTCGGGCCACCTGGCCAGAAGCCAAAAGAGGGCGCGCAAGCGTACCAAGTGAGGGCAACACAAACCGTGCGAGAAAAAACAAGCGTTTGCATTCTCTAAGGACGAACATGGGTCCACGCAAAATACGAAACACACACTGGTGACACGTGTCACCCCGAGAGCCGTGTGAGAAAAACAAGTGTCACTTGTGTTCTAAAGGCCAGCATGGGACCATACAATGTAAAAGAACACGCGGGGTGGCACACCCCGAAACCGTATGACAACTAACGACTCTTTAGCTTGCATTCTGAAGGCGAACATGGGGCTATTCAACATAAGAAAGCACCAAGGTGGCACGTGTCACCCTGAAGACAGTGTGTGAGACACAAACCAATGTATGCACTTATATCGTGAAGGCCAGCATTGGCCCATTCAGACACGTGTCAGCCCGAAAACCGTATGATGAGAAACCAGCTGATTCCCTTAGGGCCAAGGAAACACCTGGTTGACACGCTGTACCGCGAACTCCTTGGGGAACGACAGCATGTCCCACTTGTATCCTGAAGGCAAACATGGGGCCATGCAATGAAACACCTTACCAACACGACACATGACACCACGAACCGTGTGATAAAAAAAACATGCATCAAATGTACTCTGAAGGCCGACATGAGGCCCGCCAATGTCATAAACATACGGGATGACACGTGTCACCCCGAACAGCGTGTGAACAAAAACAAGCGTGTCACATGTATTCTGAGGGCGAACATGGGTAGATGCGGTATGAGGAGGCACCAGGGTGAGACGTGTCACCCCGAACACCGTGTACGAAACACAGGTGCACCACTTGTATTCTGAAACAAAGAATTGGACCATGCAATACAAACAACACTAGGGTTACACTTGCCGCCATGAAATCCCACCAGCCCTCTGGGCGTAGGTGGTTTAGAGAGTTTCCTCTTCCACCACCCTTCCTTCTTCCCCTTCGGGGATGGGTTTACCCCTCCCCCTACCCCCTCCCCTGGACCTGGACGGGGGGGGGGTCGCGAGTCGTCGGGGCGTCCGAATCGGCCTCGGCGACGGAGCCACATCATTGATTTTACTAGGGTTTTGGCCCCATTTTGGCCTTCTGAGGGGGCGACTGTAATCCGCACCCCTCCCTTCTTTGATCGATCTCCTCCGAGATGGTCCCAAGAGCGCTCCCAAGGCTCCCAAGGGTGCCCGAAGAGGGCCCCAAGAGGTGGCCAGGAGGCCCCAAGAGGCCCCCAGGATGCCCCCAAGAGGCTCCCAAGAGACCCCCAAGAGACCTCCAAGAGGCCCCAAGAGGCCCCCCAGAGGCACCCAAGACGCTCCAAGATGCCTCGGCGACAATGCCAAAATCGTTGATTTCACTATGGTTTTGGCCACATGTTGGCTTCCTGAGGGGGGGGGCACTGCTTCAGATGACTCCAAGAGCGCCTGGGAGAGCCAAAGATGATCTCAAAGATGGCTCAAGATACCCCAAGATACCTCAAGATGGCGCCCACGATGCTCCAAGAGGTCCCAAGACCGCTCCAAGACGGCTCCAAGTGGCCAAAGAGCTCCCCCAGGAGGTCCCGAAGAGGCCAACATCCTTCCAAAACCTTGGGAACATCTATGTATTTGGTTTTCTCGCGAAAGCCTCAAGATGGCCCCAACATGGCCCAAGAGGGCTCCAAGAGCCCTCCCAAGGCTCCCAAGAGCGCTTCAAGAGGGCCCCAAGAGGCGTCCAGGAGGCCTTCAAGAGGCTCCTAAGAGACCCCCAAGAGGCCCCAAGAAGCTCTCCGATGCACCCAAGACGCTCTAAGACGCGTCCGGGACCGCCAAGAGGCCTCCAAGACGCTCCAAGAGGCCTCCACTGGGAGACCCTTCCTCTGTGTGCTGCCCGCTTCCCTGATCGAGGCAATTCCTCTGGGCATCGTTTCTGGATGGGCTGGTGGGCATTCTTTTTTTGGTCTGCGGCCGCGCGACAACGGTCTGGCGGCGGAGGGCAATGTCCGGGGCGGGCGGCACAAAGCGAATTGGCGACCCCAACCGCCACGTTGGCAGGCCGGACCGGCTGGTGGGGATTCGCGAAGCGTCAACAATTCGTGAGGCACAACATGCAGTATAACAAAATACACCGGGGTGACACGTGTCACCCCGAAGACCGCACGATGAAACCCAATTGTGTCACCTGTACTCTGAAGGCGAACGTTGGACCATGCAAGATCCGCTGTCTTGTTTGTTTTTGTATTGCTTTCAACGGTTTATATATAAACACACAAGGTGGCGCATGTCAAGCAGAGAACCGTGTGAGACCTACAACTTGCTCTCAATATCGTATGAAGGCGCACGTGGGGCCATGCCATAAAAAACAGACGTCGGATTTGCACGTGCCAGCCCGAAGCCGTTCGCGGACAAAAAGCAACTGCTTCACTTGTATCCCGAAAGCCGGCCTTTGTCTCTGCAACGTCAAAAAACAAAAACACGGGGAGACACACGTCACCCCGAAAACCGTTCGATGAAAGCTCGAGTTCGCCAGCATTTTGAAAACCACCATGTGGCCATGCAATCTCTGGAAGCACACGGTGTGACACGTGGCATCCCGAAAACAGTGTGAGAAAAGAAACAACACGAGGTGGCGCGTGTCACTTCGAAAACCATGGCATAGAAAACAAGTGCTTCACTCGTATGCTGAAGGCCAACAAAGGGCCATGCACGATAAGAAGATATCTGGACGGCACGTGTCACCCCAGACACTTAGCGAACAAAACAACTACCCCTTCTCTATTCTGAAGCCTATCAAAGGGGCCAACGGGGCTAACACGTGCCACCCTGAAAACCGTGCATGCTGCAGGCCGGTATGGGCACATGCGATGACAGAAAACACACGGGGTGATATGTTCCAACTCGGAAGCCGTGTGAGAACAACCCATTTGCCCACTTGTGTTATGAGGGCCAACGTGGGGCCATGCAGTATGAGAAAGCAGCCGGGTGGCACGCGTCACCGAACAACCCATGAGAAAAACCAAGTGTCCCACCTGTGCTCTGAAGGCACGCATGGGGCCATGCAGTATAAGAGAACACACAGTGACGTCCGCGGTCGCCATCTCAACCGCCCCGAGTCCTGCGCGGCTACTCGCCTGCGCAACCCAAGGCGAGAGTGGCTCTTGTTGCACGGCTTTCGAGGGGCCAACGGGGGCAAGCCCAAGCGCTGAAACCGCCGCTGCTGCCGCACCGCCCCGAAGGTCACACCGGCGAAGGGTCACTCTCCTGCTCTTCCTTCTTCCCTTCCTCCTCCTCCTCCTCCTCCTCCTCCTACTTCCCCTCCTCCTCCTCCTCCTCCTCCTCCTCCTCCTCCTCCTAGTGCTCCTCCTCCTCCTCCTCCTCCTTCTCCTGCTTCTCCTCCTGCTCCTCCTGCTCCTGCTCCTGCTCTCCTGCTCCTGCTGCTGCTCCTCCCCCTCCCCCCTCCCCTCCCCCTCCCCTCCCCCTCCCCCTCCCCCTCCCCCTCCCCCTCCTCCCCCCCTCCCCCTCCGCCTCCGCCTCCGCCTCCGCCTCCGCCTTCGCCTCCGCCTCCTCCTCCTCCTGCTCCTCCTGCTCCTCCTGCTCCTGCTCCTGCTCCTGCTCCTCCTCCTCCTCCTCCTCCTCCTCCTCCTCCTCCTCCTCCCCCCTGCTCCTCTTCCTGTCACTCGTGTAGCCGGCCTGACGGCTGGGGACGGCTGGGGGCCCGACCCGCGTCTCCAGCACGGCGGCGGCGTCCCGCTTCCTCGGCCGCGGCCGCTCTCTCTCCAGGTGGGCGCCCGGGCGCGCAGCCGGCGGGGGACGACGACGCCGACGACGACGACGACGATAACGACGACGACGACGACGACGACGACGAAAGACGACGACGAAAAACGACGACGACGAAAACGACGAAAAACGACGACGAAAAACGACGACGACGACGAAAAACGACGACGACGACGACGGCGCCTGAGCGTCGTCGGAGGTCCGACGGGGGCAAGGCCCGACGCGGCACAACGCCTGCTTTCGGCCGGCACCACGGATTGCCCCAGCGAAGCAGACCAGCAGCAGCAACGGCGGGTCGAGGAGTAGGAGCTCGGCGAGTGAAAACGTGACTCCCTGAATAGGTCTGAGGGTCCCTGGGGGCACGCTGACCGGCGGGACAGGGGCGAGAGCACGGCCAGGTGCACCGTGCTGCGTTCATGTGCACTGGAATCGTAAGCGCTCGGGCACGCGTCTGCTGTCCGTCGGCACCCGGAAAAACACGGGTCCGTCCTGTTCACGAGGGGTGCAAAAAACGAGCCTACCCTGGGTTACGAGTGCGTGGTCTGTAAACCTCCTGGGGACCCCCAAAGCCTAGAGCCGCCAGGACGCGGCACATCACGCAGGGATTACCCTGTCAACCCACAGGAGTTTCAGCGCACAGCGCCTCGTAAACCAGGGTAGGGGCGTTCTTGTTATGCCCTTGATGTTTGTCTGGAAGGGGGGAAAGGCAAGTGCAAACTCATGACGCGTCAGACATGAAGGCATGACCTCAAACCCGAATTCACACCTCATCGGTCCCTACAATGATGTATCTTCCGGGCGGAAAGTGGCCCATGGATATGCAACCGTTTGAAAACCCAGTCATGCCAACACGCCATGCTTGGACTGCAACGCCGCGAACCCACGTTAACTGTCGCGCCCTGTGAATCCTACATCGCGCCAGACTGCCCTTCCTGAGACTTCAACACCGCGAATCAACGAGGCTGGTGAGTCCTGACAATCCTATATCGCACCAGACAGCCATTCCTGGGGGTTTGGCAATGCAAGCGCTTGAGGCTGCCCCGAACGTTTAAGACGAATGTGCGTGGCGCTTATGCGGGCCCTTGAAATCTTTTTACACGCTTTCGAATACGAACTTGCGCGGCGCTACAACGAGAAACGAACATTGAAAATCACATGTCCTCAATCCGTGGAACTGCTGTACGCGTTTCAAACAAATGTGCCTGCGCCAGGGCGACAGCCACATGTGGAAAAGAAGCCGCCATCCACCCTTGAAACTCCTGCAAACTGTTCAAACGAATGCACGCTGCGCGGCAGTGAGGGACGCATTTTGAAAACCGACCGTCCTCGATCAGTGAAAAAATACACATTCCAAGCTGCAGGGTCATCAATAGTGAGGCGACCAGAAACGAAACGCCCGCCCCGCCTTACGGACACGACTGGATGAGACGGAAGGTTGTTCTAAAGGAAAAGGGGTGGTGGAGGAGGAGAGCGCAGCGCGAACAACGTTGGCCGAATGAACACTACGGCAGCTGCAATGCGAATCGAGAGGTCGCCAAGCGAACCAGGACTGCTACGCAACCCGACCTGCAATGGGCAAGAGAATGCGGCACACGGAGGCTTGTGGTAGAGCGAGTGTGCCGCAGACAAATACTACCCCCGAGGCCACGAACGGCCAACAACATCACTCACAGGACGCAGGCGAAGAACGGGAAGGAAGAGGAGGAGGAGGAGGACGAAGAAGAGGAGGAGGAGGAGGGGGAGGAGGAGGAGGAGGAGGAGGAGGGGGAAGGAGGAGGAGGAGGAGGAGGAGGAGGAGGAAGAGGAGGAAGAGGAGGAGGAGGGAGGAGGAGGAGGAGGAGGAGCAAGGCTCCCTTCTCCGCCGCTGCAGGGGCCCCCGAGTCCCCCCCACGGGCCCTGGGGACCGCCCTGCGCCCGCTCTGCGGGACGTGACGCGGGCCCCGCGGGGAGCAAGTCCGGGGGTCCAGGGCCCGTGCCCCCCGCGGCGGCGACCGTCGGCAGCTGGACGAGCGCTGCGAAAACCGCGGCTGCCAAAGCGGCCCTCCCGGAAGGAAAAACCAACCTCCCGGAATGAGGCGCGGCACGCGGCGAAACAGTCAACGGGCTCCTCCCCGGCAGGACGGAGACAGCTTCCCAGACGTCGATTTTGGCAGCCACGGATTTCGCAGCCATTGCCCGGCTTCCGAGGCAGGGGGCTGGCTGTCCAGGGGAGGGAACGCACAGCGAGATCTGGGGCCCTCGACGGCGCACCGAGACGACCCCCGGGGCGGGGGCGGGCTCCCGGGCCCCATGTCGGCGACCAAGGGGCGATGTGAAGTCGAGGCGCTCCTCCTCTGAGCCGTCCTCCCCCCCATGCAGTGACTGCCTGCCAGGTCGCCCCAACCTCTAGCCCGAAGCCCCGACTTTCGGGGGTGGGGTGGGGGGGCACGGGTTTCACACGCGTTCGTTCAGCGTTCCCCGAGCCCCCAAGCACCACTGGAAATGGGAGGCAAGTCGGTGCCCTGGTGTTGTCTCGGGGTGGTTTGGTGGGCGATGAGTGACGTTGCTCCTGAATGCAAGCACCCATGATTCATCCCACATGCCAGCAGCCACGGGCACGGCAGACGCAACACTGCTGGAATCGCCGAGCCGGGTGGAATAAGAAGGGGAAGGGGAAGGAGAGCGGGTAGTTTGGCCGCCTGGGACGAGGCGCAAGAATGCGTGACCTGAAAACTGGTGGAATCTTACGGAAATTAAGAAACCAAACACAACCGCTCTGTCTCCGCGATGCTCTTGCAGACCGCCCGTAACTACGCACCACCCCTGGAGGGAAGCAAAAACATACCTCACGGCGAACGCTGCCTTTGAAGGACGACGATGCTTCCAAATGTTCCGCACACAGGACGACTGCAGCAGGAGCTCGACCACAAGAAACCTTCCACGAGAAACCCAACCCTGAGAACCCATGACGTCCATTGTGTTTGGCATGGGAACGTCACGCCTTCCACGGCAAAGCAAAGACCATCGAACCCCTCAAAACCCCCAGGGCACCCTGGAGGCAAGCAGGGTGTTGCTTGGCATGGGTCTCCGCTGGAGGATCTCGCTGCCCTGGAACCGGCTCCAAACCGTTGCCCAGCGTGCCAGTGTCTGTCGGGAGCGGGCAAGAAGGGGGGTGTCAAAGAGGGGGGAGGTGCAAATCATGACCGGCGGCACGTGCGCGGCCCAGGGCGGGGGGGACCAGGGACGTCCTGAAATAAGATGAGGCGCCGTGAAATCTGGGGAAATAGCATGGCCCCCGCCATGAGATCCCCCCCCTAGTCATCACCCCCCTCTTTGCCGCCCCCGTGCCTGCTGGCCGATCACGTGCGCGAGGCACTCCGACGCGTGCCCGCGGAGCCGGGGCACCCCCCGCCTCCGCGAAGAACCGCCGCCCTCGAGGCACGAGCTCGCCAGACCCGACGGAGGTGCGCAGGGGGGCCCCCGACCGACCCCGGCCGAGGGGCGGGACGCCGACGACGACGGCCCCCTGGAGCCAGGGAGAATACACGTTGGTCGGAAGAAGTAGGCAGAAACATGAGGTAGGGAGGCGGATGCGGTGGACTGGGTCCAGGTCCTCCCAGAGAAAAACGGCAGAAAACACAGCAGAGGCATGCCGATCCTTGAAGCAGGAAGGCGCTGGAAGTAGGAGCTGGGAGTCCAAAAAAATACCTACTCTCAACGACCGGCGTGTACAGCGGAGGCCAGGGGAGGGGAAGGGGGGGGAGCAGAGGCCTCAAAGCTGGGTCGGAGGATCGCGCCGCATCGTCGAGAGGCCTCGCCCATGCATCGGCTTGGGCGGCGGGGCGACCCCGGCCCGGAGGAAATCGGGCTCCCCGCCGAGCCGCACCGGCGATGCGGCGTGATCCTCCGACCCCATCTGCAGTAGGGGCCCGACCAGGAGGAACCTTCCACGAGGAACCCAACCCTGAGAGCCCAGGACGTCACGCCTCCCATGGCAAACACGTCGGACCCAGGCACCCTGGAGGCAAGCAGGGTGTTTCTTGGCACGAGTCCCCATTGCAAGTCTCTGGGTAAGGTGACCAGAGATGCACGCTCTGGTCAGCGTGGGTGCTGACGTTGAGCTGCGCCCTGGCAGAGAGCGGCACTTCGACGTCCCACATCGTACCGTCGATGCTCGCATGACGCGGCGTGCAGGCCCCCCCCTTCCAACAAGCAGTGGCGACCGGGAGCGCTCGGCCACGGCGCGGCTGGAACACGAGCGGGACCGAACTCTGACCCATCGGAAGCCGATCGGACGGCTTCCGATGAGACGGTCATAACGCAGGAGGAGGAGGAGGAAGAGGAGGGGGAGGAGGAGGAGGAGGAGGAGGAGGAGGAGGAGGAGGAGGAGGAGGAGAGGAGGAGAGAACGAAGAGGAGGAGGAGGAGGAGGAGGAGGAGGAGGAGGAGGAGGAGGAGGAGGAGGAGGAGGAGGAGGAGGAGGAGGGGAGGAGGAGGCTTCAGGGGCCGACCGGGGATGCCAAACGCACGATGTGCGGTCGGTGGGCGCCGCGCGGACGCAGGCGGCGACCGCCCGCGCGGGCGTCCAGGGTCGAACACGCCGCCAGCTGGCCGGAAGGGCCCAGAGTTGAAGGGGCCCTGGACGACGACGGCGGCGGCGGCGACGACGACGACGACGGCGAGGCCGACGACGACGGCGGCGAGGAGGACGACGGCGGCGGCGGCGACGACGACGACGGCGGCGAGGCCGACGACGACGGCGGCGAGGACGACGACGGCGGCGGCGGCGACGGCGGCGGCGGCGGCGGCCTCGGCCCGCCCGCGGGCGGCCGAATAAGACGACGCCAGGATCGGGGCAAAGTTTGACCGAGATAAAAATCATGCTTGATTTTTCAAATCACCGGGGGCGCCGCCGAATGGGCCTGCCACGCCTTGGGCGCCATCGGCTTCGCGAGCGAGGAAATGCGCCCCGGCGCGGATGAGGCCACGGCGCGTATTTGGCCACGCGCGCGCCTCAGGGAATTCTGCGCCAATCGCGCCTCGCTCCAGAAGACCCGACGTTAACAAAACAAAATTGAAGCCCCAAGGGGGCCCCAAGGAGGCGGACCGCCAAACCAGTCACGCAACCAACGCAACGAAAAACATGTAAATGTCAAAAAGCGTGTTGCTCAGTGACCTCTTCGGCCGTGCAACACCGCGATAATGCCCGAGAAGGCATTGAAAAAAAACCCGCGCGCGGCCCGGCGACGTCCCCGCGCCGCCCCAGGCGCCCCGAAGAGCGCCGAAATAACCGCAGAGAAAACCCGGAAAGTCTCTGGAAGTCCCCGCGCCAGGCAAGATCCGCCACCGAATAATCTCGCGGACACCTAGCGCGCACGCGCGGGCGTCCACCATGGATGCCCGACTCCTGTTTCCGAGACAATCGCGCGCAACCGCCCGGGTGCCTCGGCAACCTCGCGATTGGCCCCGGGGCCCGCGGGCCCCAGGGAATCGAGGACCGAGTTCGCAACTCCCGAAGCACCAGGCGCGGCGCCAGCCGGTCGCTCGTCTCTGGCTGACCATAGGACGCCTGGAAATCTGATAAACCCTGAGGAACCGCTTTTTCAGATATTCACAGAACCAGCAACCGGGGCGCGCCAAATTCTCGCGTCCGAGCTTCTCTGAGAATCTCTGAAAATCTCTGAACTAGCCGCCCCGCCTGAAACATTCCCATAAACCCAAAACCCTGGAGCTGGCCGGAACTCTCTGAAAGTTCTTCGGCCCGCGAAATTTGGCGCGCCTGGATTTCTGGTTCCGAGATTCTCTGAAATCGGCCTGCGGCGGCGCCCAGCAGGTCCACCCGCGCCCAGGGTGGGGGCCGTGGACATCGCGGGCAGCGATGGCCCCGACCACGAGGTCCTTCCCCCTGCCCCTCGACGAGCCCACGCTCATAGACACGCTCTCTGCGCTGAGCGTGGACCGCGCCATCCGCCGGTACTTCTGCGCGACGACAGCCAAGTGGCCGCCGACGGACAAAGCGATTTTTTATCCGAGCTGCGCGTGCCACCGAAAACGTGCGATTGTCCCGGGCTCGGGGAGAAACACTTTCGAAGCACTTTCAGGCCGCCAGCGTCGCGGCTGCCGACCCGCCGCGCGCCGGCCGCGAGACCAGCTGGGCCCACTACGTCGACGGCGGCGGGCGGGCGCCCAAGAGAGCTGTCGCCACGGTGCGCGCGGCGGGGCGCCCGCCCCACTGCAACCGCAAATGCGGCCTCCATGGCGCCAAAGGCGTAACATGCGCGACGCATTCTCGGGCCCCCATCAACGCATCGGCCAGCGCCCAAGTCCCTGAAACGCAAACCTACTGCGCCCCCCGCGCAAGCCGCGCACCCGCTCCCAATGCTCGTGCAAACCAGTTTTTCTGCCCGCCCTCAACAGTTCAATCGAGCGCCCATGTGTTACCTGGGCTCCTCAAGCCCTCGAGCACTCCTTGGGGAACTTCTGCGAATGCGCGCGCTACGCCCCACAAATCGGCGTTCTATTTTTCTCTGGAACACTCCCAGAATCTCTGGTTCCGATTTGTCCCGATCTTCCGCTCAACTGACCGAAGCCCGAGAGCCGCTCGCGCCCCTCTGGGTTTCTGTCTGCCCCCCCACTTCCCATATTTTCCCATACTTTCCGATATTTTTCCATATTTTCCCATATTTCTGTCTTCCCCCCCACTTCCCCCCCACTTCCCATATTTTCCCATACTCTCTGGAAACCGACGATTCATTGTGTCTGTGTGTGTTTGTTTCCCCTCCCGAAGAGTGGGCCGACGTCGAACGTGAGCTGCGCCAGCGGCGAGCCTCGCGGGCCACGGGCTGGACCACCCAGGCGACGCCAGGCACCGAAGCCGACGCCATCGCGACGTGCATCCAAGCATCCGATGTCGTGATTTTGGTGACCCTGAGATCCGACGTTGCAAACAAGAATGCGACATCGCAACAAAAACACGCCCGGAGCCCCGGACCGCACCTTTCTGCGTCATCTTTCGAGCCAGACCGATATGTGAGGGCCCCGGGGCCCGAAATTGAGCGAAAACCCCCGTTGTGAAAAAAATGCAACGCCAGGATTTGGACGCCCGAAATGGGTACGGAAAAAAATGGTACATTGCCCAACAGCACATGTTGTCCCGAACCAACAGCGGCCGCTGTTGGGCGGGCGGCCTTTTGTCTCGAATGGTTACAGGCCGCGGCGGCACCGACAGCGAATCCTGTCCAAGATGAACAGGAACTGCTGTTGGGCATTGCGCCCATTCTTTCTGTACCCATCTCGTGCGTGCAGAAGGATCTCAGGTGAGGACGCGGGGCCCCCAGAAAGCCCGACGCTGTCCACGGGGCGGCCTTGCCGTCCCGAGCGGCTTCCGTGACAGCCCCGGGGCACGGCGAGGGCCGCGAAGGCCAGAAGCGGTGCAGCACCTCTGGATGGAAGCTTTTTCCGGGCGTTGGGTTAGGTCGGGCATGTCCTCCTACAGGGGGATTTTAAACAACATGTTTTTTTCAATATAAAAAAGGGCCCCCAAAATATTCCAAAATGGTCAAAAAGTGCTCAACAAAAACGTCCCCAGACTATTTTCTTAACTATCTTTGAATGTTCCCCCTGCAGGGGGACAAGCCCGACTGAAGCGTTGGGGGGTCTGGGACCCCCCCCCGTGTAGACGCGCCTCCCATGTGGGGCCAGCGCAGGTGGGGTCGGAGGCTCGTGCCGCATCGCCGATGCATCGCCCGCACATCTGCGACGCGCGGGGGGCGACGGTAGGGGGCGAGTAGCCCAGGGGAGGGCAATCCACGTACAGTCGGGGCGTTGACATAAGGAACCCTAGATAAGGAACGAGGCCCCTTTTTCCCATAAGTTAAAAACTTCGATTTCCCGTGGGAAACCCAGCGCAAACTGTAGAACAATCAAGGAGCACCGAGCCCCTCGCCAACGAGAAGGGCTCCTTCTTCAGCGCCCCGACTGTATCCAGGGGCGCCGATGTCCCATGTCTTCGAAAAGGCTCCTGGGCGAATGCGTGTCATGCCCGCCCCTGGGCTATTCGCCCCTATCGTCGCCTCCGAGACGTTGGCGACGCATCGGCGACACCGACGTGGAGAGCATCGGGCCCCACATCGAGCCGCGTCGCTGGCGCACCGACGGCGCGGCGCACCTCCTCCGGCCCAAAAGGGGGGGCCCACCCGCGGCGACGCAGGCAGACGCTCCAGGCGCCCGCCCTGCGCGGCCGAGCGAGAGAAGGCAGCGGGGGGGCGCCATCATCGAATCGACATGTCGGCTTGGCGATCGACGTGGACGGAGGGGAACTGGGACACACAAATAAATCTATACAAAAAAACATATTCCCTATATTTTCCCATGCTCTCTGGGTTTTTGTCTTCCCTCCCCCTCTTCCCATAGCGTCCCCAATTTTTCTGGGAAATCGGCGATTCATTGTGACTGTGTTTTTGTTTCCCCTCCTGAGTGGACCGGGGCCGCGGATCATTATCGGCAGCCAGCTCGGGAGAAGCCGAGCCGGCGCAAAGAGAGCGGCAGGCCAGCGGGGCCTCTCCATCGATGGACAGCGAGGCCCAGCTATCCAAGGGCTCCCAACTTCGCGCTTCGCGCTGCGCGAAGCGCGAAGCGCGAATAACTTCGCGCTCTCGCGCCGCCCCCCCAAAGGGAGAATAGGAGGACGAGGAGGAGGGGGGGGAGGAACGAGGACCGCGAAGCGCGAAGCGCGAATAACTTCGCGCCCTCGGGGGAGCCCTTGCTATCGGAGCCCGACGCGTCGAGCCGAAGCGGGCCGGAGCCGATCGAACTCTGGCCGAATCGAGTCGGAGGGGAGGAAATGAGAGGACGAGGGAGTGATGGAGGGAGGGGGGGAGGGAGGAGGAGGAGGAGGAGGAGGAGGAGGAGGAGGAGGAGGAGGAGGAGGAGGAGGAGGAGGGACCTGCGCGAGGGTCCCCCCGGCGCCCCTCCAGAGCAGTCCCTGGCCCTGTGAGCGGCCGAGCGATCCGCGGCGGCGGGAGGGCGCAGCGCTGGACGCCCGCTGTGGGCACGGAAGGCGTGGGCACCATATGCCCCACCACAGATGCTGCCCGAACGCCGACAGCTGCCGCTCTCGAATGGACAACGCCCGCGTCGACAACGACAATGAATCCTGCTCAGAATTGGGGGAATCAAAAGGTAAAAGGTACTGGTACCGCTACTCCACGGACCTCTCCCGGAGGACGTTCTGACCCGATTTTCGAGCCAAATGAAGCGGCGGCGACGAGGGCCCCCTAGGAGGTAACAAACGGGGAAAACGGGCGAAGGGTAGAGGTATGGGTACTTTTTCCTTCTCTGGAGACTGACCAAGGAATGCTGTCGGTCTGCGTGCCCATCCTTTCCGTGCCCATCTCGCTCGTGCAGCGCAAGTGGGGGGAAGCTCCTGGCTAGCAGCCGCCTCCCGGCCACCACCTCGGTGCATGCGGGACCGCGCAGGGGGGGGAGGAGGAGGAGGAGGAGGAGGAGGAGGAGGAGGAGGAGGAGGAGGAGGAGGAGGAGGGGAGGAGGAGGGCAGGGGAGGAACGGAGGAGGATTGAGATTGAAGGATTGAGGAAGGAGGGGCGGGAGGAGAGGAGAAAGGAGGAGGAGGCAAAAAAAAAGGAGGAGGAGGAGAAGGAGGAGGAGGAGGAGGAGGAGGAGGAGGAGAGGAAGAGGAGAAGAAAAGGAGGAGGAGGAGGCAGAAAACGTAGGAGAGAGGAGGAGACTCCATCTCGACTCGTTCCGACGCAGCGGGGGGTGGGGGGAAGACTCTGGATAAGCAGCCGCCCCCCCCCCCCCCCATGCCACCACCTCGGTGCGGGGGCCTGCGCAAGGGCGAGGCGGCCGCCCGGCGCCCCCCCCCCTCGACGCGGACCACCCGGGAGGCCCAGACTGAACGGGTCCTGGGACACACAAATAAATACACACAAATAACAGGATTGCCCAGATCTTCCTGTATTTTCTGGGTTTTTGTCTTCCACCCCACTTCGCATATTTTTCAATATTTTCTTGGGAATCGACCATTACTTGTGTCTGTGTGTTTCTTTCTCTCCTGACAGACCCCTGCAGGGTGACGGAGACCTGGCCTGCGGTCGGACCCAGGCCAGAAGAGCACCCCTCGAGAGCGTGAGACCCTCCGTCGGTCAAAGCACACACGCACACAGAACATCCGAGGGCGCCCCCTCCCCAGGATGCACGAGAACAGCCAAACGAGCACGAAGGACATCGGGGGCGGCCAAGACGGGGGCGTCCAAGAGGGGGGGGGCCAAATCATAGCCGGCGGCATGTGCGCGGCCCAGGGCGGGGGGGGGGCAGGGACGCATTGCAACAAGAAGAGGCGCCATGAGATCTGGGGACGAATCATGGCCCACGCCATGAGATCCACCCCCCCCCCTAGCCCTCACCCCCCTCTGTTGCCGCCCCCGCGAGAACACCAGGGCACCCTCCCCCAAACCGACCTCGATCTCTGCACCCCAACCCGACCGTGCCTGCCTCCCACGACCGCTGGGCTTTGTACCCCGGCCCGACCGTGCCTGCCTCCCAGGACCGCTGGGCGTCGTACCCCGGCCCGACCGCGCCTGCCTCCCACGACCGCTGGGCGTCGTACCCCGGCCCGACCGCGCCTGCCTCCCACGACCGCTGGGCACGCGCTGCCGGGCGGGGCGGGCCTCCCCCGCTCCCGCCCATCGCTCGGACGTCCATCTCCTGTGTTTTTGTTCGGCTTCGTGCGCGGCTCTTTCGCCAAGTGATCAAGGATGCTCCTCGATGGTCCTCGCCGAGACAAAAATGCACACGTCCGAGCGATGCCAGGGCTCCCTGCCCCTCCGCGTCCGCGCGCGCGCCGAGCAGGGCGCAGGCCCTGCGCGCGCGCGCGAGGGCCTCTGGCGACCTCGCGCGGCGGCCTGCGCGGGCCGCCGCAGCGAGCGCGGCACACCCCGGGTCGGAGAGCGGGCGCCTTAGGTCAAGGGGCCCTGGGACACACACGCGCACACACGCACGCACGCACGCACGCACGCACGCACGCACGCACGCACGCACGCACGCACGCACGCACGCACGCACGCACGCACGCACGCACGCACACACACACACACACACACACACACACACACACACATAACAGGATCCTCCATATTTTCACATATTTTCTGTTTTTTGTGTCTTCCCCCCCCACTTCCCATTCGTCCCCCCCCACTTCCCATCTTTTCCAACAGTTTCCTGGGAGTCGACGATGAATTGTGTCTGTGTGTTTTCCCCCCTCCTGATTAGGGGCCATGCTCAGGACGTGAGGACCTCCCTCAAGAGCACGGCTCCCTCCGGCGGCCAAACCAAACAGAACAGCCAAGGCCCTCCCCCCCTCCCAAGGATGCACAAGAGCGGCCAGCAAACACGAAGAGCATCAAGGATCAGGGTCACCTCCCCGAACCAACCCGATCTTGCACCTCGGCCCGACCGTGCGCAAAGCGCTATATGCGTGGGCAGCTTACGCGCTAAAGTCTACGCAGTCGGCCCCGTTTCTCTGCGTCGATCACCTCTCCAACATCCCTCAAAAGGGCTCGTGTCCAACCCATGCCTCCACTTATCCTGGCCCCCCACATCCGACATCTCTCTCCGTCCCTCTCCCCCTCCGCTCCCTGCCTCTCCCGGACCTTCGTGGGCCCTGGAAACGAAAGGGCCGTTTTTTAACCGGTTCCGTTCTGCCGTGTTCTTGCAGGTTCCGACGCCGTTTTTCTACCGGTTCCGTCGCCGTTTTTTGACCGGTTCCAATCCTGGAGCCGTTTTTTTGCCGTTTCCGGTCGCCGTTTCCGGTCGCCGTTTTTTTGCCATTTCCATTTTCAAGGCGCATTTTTTTGGAAACGGTGCAAAAACTGCCCTGCCATTTCCGGGGCCCAGAAAGTCCCAGACATCCGTCAGCCCGCCCCAAGACGATACGGGCCCGCTCCCATCTTGTTGAGCTTCTGGACTCTGGGGCGCGAGTCGGCGAACAGAAGGCGACCTGGACACGTTCCGCCATCCCCCGACCTCCGGCGCCGTGACTCGTGAGAGATGCGGACCCCAGGGGGCCTCGACTCCTTCCCTGGCGCCATTGTCCCCTTCAGACTCGACGCGAACGCCGCCAGATAACCATGTTTCTTTGACGGTGCCAGGGACAGCCCAGGGGCCCCAAGCGAAACTGGCTCAGAGCCTCCCGCTGTGCTTTGCGTCACGGTGCGAGGCGGTGTGCGCACAGACTCCCAAGATCCACCCCTGGGCCTTGCCCTGGAGCGCGCCCCGGCTAGAATCTCGAGCCGTGGCGATGGGAATCCTCCTGCAGCCCCCCCACCACCCAACAAAAACAACGAACCGATGCAACACAAGCCGGGTCGCTGGAAGGTGTGGCCCGCCGAACCGCCTCGCCTCCGCCCTGTGCCGCCCTCGTCAACTGTCCAAGCACGCCCTCAACCTCGCCGTCTGCTTACTCCCCGCCTCGAGCGCGCGATGCGTGTAGGGGACCACATGCGAACCCTACCCCTACCCCTACCCCCACGATTCCTGAGGGGGAGGACTTCATTTCGCTCGGGAGCTCCCGAACGAAGTGAACCCCACCCTCCCCCTCAGAAACCGTGGAGGGTAGGGGTAGGGTTCGCTTTGGGTCTTCTAGGGTGGTCGCTGCGCTGCGGAGCCACTTCGGCGACTCAGCAGGTGTGGTCTGCAGCTTAGTGGGCCCTGGAAACGACAAGGCCGTTTTTTTACCGGTTCCGTTTTGCCGTTTTTTTGTTGGTTCCGACGCCGTTTTTTTACCGGTTCCGTCGCCGTTGTTTGACCGGTTCCGGCTCCGGTTCAAATCCTGGAGCCGTTTTTTTGCCGTTCCCGGTCGCCGTTTTTTTGCCGTTTCCATTTTCAAGGGACACTTTTTCGGAAACGGTGAAAAAACGGCCCTGCCGTTTCCGGGGCCCTGCCGTTTCTGGAGCCCGCGAACCCGCGGATACGGATGTGTGTTTCGCCCGTCGTGCATCGCGGCCTAACCCGCGCTCATTTATCCTACCGACGCCCTATCCTCCTCCTCCTCCTCCTCCTCCTCCTCCTCCTCCTCCTCCTCCTCCTCCTCCTCCTCCTCCTCCTCCTCCCTCC